GGGGGGGGGGGGGGGCTGGAGAGATGGTATCCCCCCCACTTCGCGATCGATAAATTCTCACAAGGTCAACGTTTTGTGAGTGTTTTGTAACGTTTCGTAAGTCCTAAAGAAAATTTTGAGACTCAATTTTTAGGGGGAATACGGCTACCCAAAATTTTGGGGCCAGCCCCCTCCCCCCCCCCACTTTACGATCAATAGATTCTGACAACGCCAACGTTTTGTAAGTGTTTAAGAACGTTTTGTAAGTCTAAAAGAAAATTTTGTTTCTCAATTCTTAAGGAGGATACGGCTTCCCANCCCCCCCCCCCCCACTTGGCGATCGATAAATTCCGTTAACGCCAATGTTTCGTAAGTGTTTTGTAACGTTTCGAAATTCCAAAAATAAATTTTGTGACTCAATTTTTAGGGGGGATACGGCAACCCAAAATTATCAGGGTCAATCGCACCGTTCAAATATTCCGCGCTAAGACCACCGGATCTCTCGCCCGGATCTTTCTCTCCTCCGTGCCATGTTACCGCAGCCTTTCAACCTTTCCGACCGTTTCAGTGGGACAGAGATAAATCGTGTTCCTACGCTATTTAGGGTTTCAACTGCTTGGGTAACTAGGACCATCGACTGCTAAATTGTCATTCACCCTTAGAAGCTCAAAAAGAACTTGCCTCAATGAAGCGCAATGTGAAGTCAAAACAAGCAGAACAAGGATAAGGTGAAGGATGCGGCCTGAGCTGAGCCCGTCTAATCGAATATTGCCACTTGAACCGACTCAGCTCAGGCGGCGGGAGTTTTAGTGGGTACACCATAAAATGATGGTAAGTCTCACACGCCTTTCTGTTTGGTTCCTGGCTACCAGAGTCTATACAAGGTTTCTCCCACCTTAAAAAAAAAAAAAAAAAAAAAAAAAAAAAAAAGAAAAACCAACCGCGAGGAGGCAGGGCGCATAGGTGACACGGCGCAGCGCGCCTCCGAGATAGGGTGCATAGATGATACCGATTTGGGCACATTTTTATGGTTTTTTCTTTCGATATTGCTGCTCGGGGATGTTTCCTAACGTTTACATGGCAAAACCACAATAAATTTTACTTTCCGCCGATTTTAAAATGCATGTTTTCGAAAGAAAGTGAAAAAAAAAACCGGCGCTCCGCTTCGCTCCGCGCCGGTTTTTGGTTTGAGTGTCCGGCCTCAGTTGTTCTGTCTTTTAAGTGACCCGCGCGTCCACCGCGGGAAGAATGTATTTTCCGAGGGGAGGGGCGGGGGTGAAGAGTTATCAATATTTGGAGGTTGGATTTACGTTTTGTCGCCAGATTGCAACAACAATCCTCATGTAATGTCTGATATGAAAAAAAAATGTCAACAAACGCTGTGGCAAGCTTGAATGACGATGGATGAATCTCCATAACCC